CTGGTCTTCCTTTCCTATCCTGTCTGGGGTCCAATGATAGGATACTGAGTAAGAGTGCCTGGGTCCAGACTCGGGGCCTCCTGCTTGGACTGACGTGGCCGGCAGCCTTTTCTAGATCTTCCTGGCCTCACAGTCCTCCTGCCCCAGTGGCCACTGAGAGGCTCGGCCAGGCTGGCACAGGAACAGTTAGTTTGGAGCAGCGGATTGGGCTGACGGGGAGCCACCGAGGGTGACTGGCACGCCTGAAGACAAGAAAGACTGCTTGATGTTTCCCAAGTTAGTGCGCGGGGGAGGGGTACGTGGGTAGGAAGCCATTTTCATGGAGGTGAGTCCTGTAGGTGAGCCCGAGAGACTGAGGTCAGGGCGACCCAGGAATGGCTGGCGAGCGCCTCCGTGCCAGTGCGGGGCCCTAAGGGCTGGACACAAGACGCTGTGCAAAGGGAAAGTGTGGCTGACCTTCTCCCCATCCACTACTTCTGACTGCAAGGATGTTCATTTGTAGAGTACTCCCCAGGCATTTCCAGACCCTGGAAGCTTTCTGAATCATAAAAGGTTCAACAGGACTAGGTGCCATGGTCAGGGCTCCTGGCTTTGACTTTCCAGTGGAAAGTTTCCAGTAAAGATGACCATGAAGTGACATCGGGCACAACTCCAAGGCTGACAGAAACCAAGTGCAGCGGCACCGAGAGCCCCAGCTGCGGCTGGGCATGGAAGTCCACCACTCAGCTGGAGGACACCAGGCTCCAACGAGGGGCTGCGTGAGCAGCATGACAGAGCCTGTCCCAGAAACCCCCTCTGACACCATTGGTGCCTCCATCCAGATGCTGAGGTGCAGCACAGGACCTGGGCTGAGCCACCACTGTTGCTCCTCTCAGGGCTGGGCCACGCAGGGTTCCGTGGGGAAGCAGCACCCAGAAGAGCCCCTCTCCCTGTTCAGGGCACGCCCACATCTGTGCCCGTTCTTCTGGGCAGGAATAGCCGGGGCTTGGTGGTGTGCTGTGGCTTGGTGTCTGCATTTTCCAGACCCCTTTCCTGTTGGCTTTTGCAGTCACTGAGCCCGACGACGCGGGCCTCCGATGGCTGGACGGTGTAAACACAGCACCGCGCTTGTCCTCGGCCCTCCTTCCCCTTCCCATACCCCCTTGTGCCCTAGATCTGCAAGCAAGGTAGACAGCAAGGGCAGAGCATTCCGAAAGAGCACTCCTGCCTTTCGGCTGCCATCCTCTGAACTTCAAGACCCTCAGTAGAGAATGTTCCTGGTGTGGATGCCTGGTTGACAAGATTCCTTTGCCTTTGGTAGCCTGCAGTCTAAAGAAGATGAGCCCGCCAGGCCCCCAGGGATGGAAAGGCCCCGTCAGGCTAATCGGACATTCCTTGCCCTGCACTCCATCCTTGGGAGGCTGGAGGGAAGCAGGGAGGAGGGTGGTGTCCTCCGAATGCCCCTGCAGGAGCTGGATTCTCCAGTCAGCTTTTGAAGCCAGTGGGTTTGATTAAGGAAGGTTTGGTTCCACAGAGAGCCCTTTGTTTCGCCAGGGTAGCTGCCAACAGATCGGGGAGGGGGAAACAACCCTGCCTCAGTATTTACTTTGTCTTACAGTGGTTTGAGTCCAGCTAATGACACCGGAGCCAAAAAGAAGAAAAGGAAACAGAAGAAGAAGAAAGAAAAAGGCAATGAGCTGGACTCAGCCCTGGACCAGCCTGTGAAGGTAACAAGGCAGCCTGTGTGCTGGTGACTGAGGGCGCTGTCTGCAGCCGAGAGTGTGGGGGTCAGTGTACAGGAGCCATTTAGATCGGCCATCTCCACTGGTATTACTTCAGGTTGGAAGAATTGGAGCCCTTTGCTGCTGTCCTCCGCTGCCCTAGACCGAGGGGATGAACCTCCTCTCCGTACCTTAACAGACACAGCAGGTTAGACACTTTTCCCACGCTAGGTGCCCGCCCCCCAGATTGTCCAGCTGCATCCTTGCATGTGGTGCTGTGCTCGATGCCTTGTGACAAGCACACAGGAACCAGCCCCTGGGGCCTAGAGCAGTGGGCTCAGCCTGTTCTTTCTGGAGCCCTCGCTGATCTTTTTCAGGAGGCCCTGTGTGTACTTGAGTGTCCTTTCCACGCCAGACTCTGTAGTGGAATCACAAGTCCCAAGAAAGCATCTTTTAAAAGAGCCTTTTATTTAGGTAGATGGGGTCCTTCTCAACGTTCGCCCCTGGGAAAGCTCAGCGCATACCCGTAACTCTCCTTTTAGAATTGCCTCCAAGGGAGCTTATGAGTTTGGCAGGAAATGCAATCTCATTTTATCATGTCACATGATGCTGTATGCCTCAAATCTCAGGCTTCAGTTTGAATCTCCTACCTTACTTAGATTGGTCTCCAAGTAATTTTTCATACTGTTTTCACTGTCAACCCTGCTATGAACTGAAATCAGCTTGCTGGCAGTGAGCTTGGGTTGAGTGTGGAAATGCTGCTGTGGGCCTCAAGGCACCCTGACCAAGCACTGTTAACTAAACCATGGCCATCTGCTTCTGTAAAGATGGACAGACTCCACAGGCCTGCGTGGTGGTCGTGTCCTGTCCTTCAGGGTCATATGAGTCTGCATCCACTCACGCCTGTGGGGTTAGTTTGGGCTTTATTATTACCTTCATAAGGACCCTTGGTGGCACAGTGGTTAAGTACTTCTAACCAAAAGGTTGGTGGTTGGAATCCACCGATGTCATGTGAGATACAGGCTTTTGATCTGTCCCCATAACTGATTCCTGCCAGAGAAAGCCCTTAGGGCAGCTCTGCGAGCTGCAGTGGACTCCGTGGAGCGTGAGAGCTGCCCTATGTTGGCAGGCACTTCCCTTGAACTCGCTGCCCTACCTTCAGCGTCTCTGCAGGGAACTGTAAAGCCGGGTTTCAGTGCCCACCGTCTTTCCATCTTGACTTCCAGCCCAAGCCCAGACTGTGGCTTGAGGGCTCTTTGCCTGCCCGGGGATCGGTATCAGATGATGCCGGTGGGGTCAGAGCTCTAGCCAGCATCAGGGGTTCACTCCCGAGTAAGAGATTCCAACAAGGCATTGTGTGCATGGCCATCTGGTATCATCAGAGGGTGCTGCAGTTCATCGTAGGGATTTTAGGGGGAAACGCATGAGGAAAATTAAAATCACAATCCAACTTCCAAGAACAAGGCAATATAATAATGGACAGTCTCCCTTTTCTTCAGAATCTAAATACAAATAATGCACGGGTGTTGAGTTTTTTTGCAATCTGTACCTGAGGCCTTAGTCTCCTGTGTGCACTTTGGGTCTTCTCTGTAGGGGTACCATATCTGCTTAAAGATGGTAGGTAGTTCCCAGAGGAAAAAGTGCAAATCATCAGTGTGTGAATAATGATTAAACTCACCAAAAAATGTAAAGCAAAACTTTCTCCTGGATTGGCAAGGGTTAGGATTTGGGATTGGCCAATGGTGAGGGTCTGAAGAAACAGGCCTGCTCACCTATCTGCGTATTAGGTTGTTTGTTAATAATCGCTTTCTAGCAAGTGTTTGCTCAGATGCGCACATTCCTCGACACATGTATTATATTCCCGTAAGGAGAAGCAGGAGCACAGGAAAGCCCACTGCAGCACTGCTTGTAAAACAACAACAAAACAAGCTCACTGCCCTCCAGTTGGTGCCGACTCGTAGCGACCCTGTCATATGGGTAGGACTGCCCCTGTGAGTTTTCCTTTTCAAATTTATTTCTTGTTTACGGTCATCTGGGCTGAGTAGGCTTTCAAGTGTGAGATGCTTTGATCTGGTGGGTTTCTTAAACAGTTTATTGGCATGGGATTCGCATACTCAGAGATTCTGTAGTTCCTCGCGTCAAGAAGGGTTGTGCAGGGAGTGCTGAGACCGAGCCCCGCCCCCTCCTGCGGGGCAGCTGGTGCTTTCCGCTGCGCCACCAGGGCTCCCCAGGGGACACCCATCTGCGTGTCCTGACATGGAAAGGCCTCTGGGAGGTGGGTGTAAAGTGGAGGTGTGAGGAGCACGAACACTCGCAGACTGTGCAGTTGTAGTTTTGAAAAGTGTGTGTGTGTACCTTGTAGTCTTGCATGCAAAAAAAGCCTGGAAGGATCTATGCCTCTGCCCACCCTATCTTCCAAAGTGCCAAAGTGAGGTGACAAGGATTATGTCGAAGAGGTAGGATTATATGCCTGGGGCTGCTAACCGCCAGGTCAGCAGTTAGAAACCTCCAGCCAGTACGAGGGCAGTGAGACTCTGCTCCAGAAGAGTTAGTCCTCAGACAAGCAAACGAAGAAACCAGGGACAGTCTTGGAATCCCATGGGGCAGTCATACCCTGCCCTGTGCAGGTGCTGTGCGTCC